ACTGGCCCTGCTCGGTCCAGCTGCAGCCAAGAGGAGGTTAGCATCGGTAGCAGGGGAATACTACGTGAAGAAAGATGAAACGTAACCCGTGTTGCGGTCAGGAGCCTAAGATTATAGTTAAGTTCTTGAGGCTGCTGTGTTTTTAAAACCGTCTTGCGGAGCAGTAGCTCATCTGGATGGATTCAGCCCTCTTTGTGGTTTATTTAATTGCTCGGTCCAGCTGCAGCCAAGAGGAGGTTAGCATCGGTAGCAGGGGAATACTACGTGAAGAAAGATGAAACGTAACCCGTGTTGCGGTCAGGAGCCTAAGATTATAGTTAAGTTCTTGAGGCTGCTGTGTTTTTAAAACCGTCTTGCGGAGCAGTAGCTCATCTGGATGGATTCAGCCCTCTTTGTGGTTTATTTAATTTCCATCAGAATCTTTAATGCATGCTGGATCAGGGCTGGGAGTTTGCGCCTGTATCAAGAGGTGGTTTGCTTATTATCCCAGTCTTGTAAAAATGCTTGAGAGAGATGCTGTGCGTGAATAAAATAGAATGCAATTATTTATCGGTGTTCCCGTTACATACCTATATGGTGTATGCTTAAGGTGTTTTCAGTGTTGTATGTGTCCTCAGATATCTGTGAGGGAAGGGAAGATCCCACCTCAGCTTTCTGGAAAGGAGGTGGGAAACTGAGGCAAAGTGACATGCTCCAGGTCGTATAAGAAGCGAGGGGTAGAGCGGAGCAGAGACTTTGCAGGTGTGAGGGTCATGTTCTGACTGGTGGATCTCTGTTCCTTGCAGACTTGCTTCATAAGGCAGTGTTCCTTAGTAAGAGAGATGGAGTCAAGAAAAGAAGCACGTGCCCCAGCAGGTGTTGGCGGGGCAGAGCTGTGATCTCCACTTATACTAGTCTCTAGTACAAGTACAACGCAGTCTGTTTTGTTTGTAAGTAGTCTAGATTATTTCTCTGAATGTTTTAGCGGTTACATTTCTATTATTTATCCCTGCTAATGCTTCCTGGGTGCTGTTAGAAGAGGAACAAAAGCAGTGTCTGCTCGATACCAAATGATGCGAGTCCGCTGTTTAGCTTGGTAGTTGCCACACTAGATCTTGCAAAAGGCACCAGAAGTTCAAGAGTTTGCTTCTGTGTGGGATTTTGAGCCTCATTCAGAGGGAGTTGCAACTGGAGAGAGGGCTGCAACTGGATATATTTGGGAATTTCCAGTAGGGGTGAGATCTTGCTAGGGCGATGGACTAAACCAAGTGCAGGGTGAAACCATAGTACTAAAACATTCAGGGTTTTTCCTACCACAGGAGCGTAGCTTGCTGCAGGAAGCAAGCTTTTGCGCTGAGCTCCTAGCTTGGCAACATCCAGCTTTTGCTTGCTTTCCCTGTTGAACCCTGTCAGTTAGTGTGACTGGAGCCTGGAAGTTACCAGAGGGGCATAGTAATGACTGGCTGTGTTGCCACGGGTGATCTTCCCTCTGTGTTTCGTAGTCGCACTTCTGTCTTTATTTTATCATAGTCAAAATAAATAGGGTCTTTTTTCACACTGATGCCTGCCACATTCCTGTGAAATCTTTAGAATTAATCAGATGATTTTCAAAAGTTTCTGTGTTCCAAGACGAAAAATGTCACCAAGTTAAATGCTTTGGCCTTGCTTCGCTTGGCTGATAACTTGCAATGCTAAAAGTGAGACAGCAGCATGCCTGTGAGATTGAAATAAGTTTCTCTAGTTCATGTGACATTCCCTAAGGGGACACTTGCAAAGAGTGCCTGTAAACGAGCTAGGGCTCCAAAATAAGTAGTCTTTGTAGTTATGTAGGCATTTTAAATCTGAGCTACAGCTTAAGCGTTATGAAAACCAGATAAATAGCAAAATTCAATCGGAAGTGATTTTTCTTCCTCCTGTATGTTAGTCGGTCCTTCTCTATTCATCAGTGATTCAGTCAGGGCTGTTAGTTGTTAGCGGTTGAGAGAGGACATCCTGTAAAGCTGCTTTTGGTAGGAGTTCTAGTTGCCCTCGACGGTCTGTGTATTAGAGGCAGGTCATACTGCATTATAAGGGAAAGCATGAAGCAGGCTAGGCACAGAATGTTCAGATGGATAAAGAAATGACAACCCCCCATTTCATTATGCAGGCAGATTTTTGTAAGAGTAATGTGGCTTTGAAGCTTGTGAACTACTATTACTGGTACTCTTCTGGCCTCAGATGACTTTGTCCAAGATAAAGAGACTCCTCGTGTGTCAGTGGAGTCTCTTTATCTTGGACATTGCCTAGAGTAGGGTTTGAAATCTATTTGGCCTGCCTGCAGAGGAGGCTTGCTGTTAACACATCCTCGGCTGGCGGTTGTAACTGAAGCTTCTGCCTGGCTTCTGACAGGGCCAGTGCACCTTCAAACACCTCTTGCTAGTATATATTTTAAAAATAATAAAAAGACTGGCCAATATATGAAAGTTTCTCAGTTGAGTTAATAAAACAGACCATTTTTGTCTTAACTTCTTCAGGCTGTGACTTCAGTAAATTGCAAGCAAACAGTGCTACTGTGAGAAAAGGCAATCAGCTTTTTCCTTGGTGGAGAATTGGTGTCTGTGGCAGCCTTACTATGCAAACAGCTGCATCATTGCCCTGGGGTTTAATGATGTATGTTTCGTGTAGTGCTCTACTCAATTTTTTCATTTTCACCAGCCTCTGTACTGTTGCAGCTCAGGTTGCATTGCATGTTTGTTTGGAACTCTGTGTTTTGGGTATTGTCTATCAGGCCAACCTGTTATCGGTCTTCAAAGCTGTCTGAAGCTCCGATGTGAGCTCTTTAAGAGTTCTTGCTCAGCAGGGTACTGAAGAACTAAACATGCGTGTGTGTTCCTTGGCGTTCTGCACTGTAGTAAGTATCTGGCTTTGTCATAAACAGGAGAGATTACTTTCTTCATCTCTCTTTGGCAGGATTAGCCCTCCCACAAAAGAAGAACCCAGAAAAACAAATGAATTGGATGGAGTTCTAATTGCTCAAGTTATAGGAGGGCAACAAGTGGGTTTTGTGGTCTGGTAGGCCGCAGATGATTTCCAAGAGCTTGGTCTCAATTCATGTTTAGTGTTTGAACTTACCTCATTTCCTACTGTACCACTTAATCAAATCTCTGCATGTTCTGCTCCCCGAGGACAGAGATGTCCGTTCTGCATCTAGAAACAGTATGCTAAGTAGAGCAGCAAAACTGATTGTTAGAAAAGCATCATCGTTAGTTTATTGGACGTGAGCACGTTTTAAAATCTCTTATTTGTTTTCCATGTCAGCAAAATAACAGGATAAACAGTCTAACCAGCCAGTCCCTGGGACAGCATTTCCTAGTTTTTCAGTTTTAGATCTAGGTTGGCGGTCCTCTCTATAAACTTTGGTTGTAGATAGTTCAGATTCCAAGCTGTCTTAGAAAGCAAAATGGAAATGATGCTGACTTCTTGAAGTAAAGATCTGATCCAAATGGACTCTGATTGTGACCTGTGCTTCAAGGTGATGCTGAACAGAATGGAGGATTCAGATCCTCTCTCTCTACCCGTTGTGTTGCAGGCAGTTTCTTGGTCTATGAGTTTAAGTGCCCTGGCATGTGCTTGTCTATTATGTATTGCCAGTAGAGCTCAGCCCAATAAATGGTATCACTGATGGTCATTTTTGCTCCTAGTTGTCCTGTACTCTGCCCTTTTATAAATCTTAATGTAGTGGTGGCTTTCTGCAATCCCTTGCTGTGCCTGTATTGGGGATTTCTTCCTGCCATCTGCTTAGGTGTGATTGTGAATGCCAGATTGCCTAGGATCTGCTTATGCCCAAGCCCAGTAGAGTACCTGTCATTTCCCTCTGTGTGGCTGAGCTTGTCTTGGGTGCTGGTTCGTTGCTGTTGACTGAATGCGCCCCTGTCAATGTTTCTGCTGCTGCTGGGAGTTTTCCTGTTGTTGGCCAACAGTTTCAATGAGGGCTGGCAGCCCTGGGGAGTAATGGTGTGTGAAGAGTCCTATTTTGTCAGAGAAGTGTGCGTGCACACACATGCATACGTTTGATTTGGAGTGGTGGGGAGAAGGTGGGCATCGGCATCTGAACCCATCAGCTAGGAGGCCTGAAGCCCATCTCTGAGGCTCTGAAAAGAGAGACCAAGAGAATAAAATAAACTACTTCTAAAACTGCTGACTTATGAACTGCTGCTGTTACATCCCACAGTCAATTTATAGAAAGTTCTGTCCTGGTCCACTTAAGTTCTTTTTTTGTTCGGTTTTGGGTTTATGATTAGTTTTTGTATGAGCGGGCACCTTAGCGTGAGTGTTGTTTTCATTAGTATGTATTTAAGTCATCGTCTTAACTGGAGGTGCTTCTGTCTGTAGTGTTAACGCATCTGCTTCACGTTATGAATTTTTTGTATGTATGAACAGTGTGAGATGTAGGCTACATGGAGGTTATTTCCTCTTTGCTCCCATATGATACGTGTTGTGTTAAGATTGTGTAAAGTACATTTGTATGCTTGGAGGAAGCCTTGTGGGAGATAGAGGGAAGAAATCTTACTGAAAGGTCCATAGTGGGCACTCAATGCCCTTGGAGGGTTTGTACCAAAGATACAATCCTGTGTATTCTTTTTCCATTCATCTGTCACTGTACTACTAGCGCTTGCCTCATGCACTTGCCTCTGGGGTAGTTTTGCTTGGACTCGTACACAAAAACTTCTAACCTATTTCTTCTGTGTCACTAGCTAGTTATACATTAGTAAGGATAACAAGCTCCTGGAGGATTTGCAGAAGTATAGAATTTATATCACAAACCCACTGATCTCTTTAAAACTAGATTATCCTGATCTTATACCTAGCATGTGGTGGTATGGGTTATTTTCCTTTCCCCTGAGAAGTTCCCTTGCCTTCAGTTTCTACTGCCACTGGAGCATTGCTTTGCAGTGGCTCTGGGAAAGACACTGAGTTTCTGCTCTGTTCTTGTCCATAAAATATGAAGTTCTTGGTATTCTCCCACCCTTTTCTGCAGGTCGCATACTTTGAGAGATGTTCTCTGTCTTCAGGATCAGCTAAATTAGTAATCTTAGCCTTCAGTTATTGCAATACAAATGGGAATTACCAGATTCTCACGCATGCTGTGGAACCACTTGTCCTGCTAGCAATCTGACAAGTGATGGGTGACACTGCTTTAATTTTCAGTAATGTTTTACTTCAAAGCCTTGCACTACTGCTAATCTTTTTAGACAAATGAGGCAATAGGTGGAAGTTGTTTTTTCCTCTTTTCCCTGTGTTTTTTCCTGATGATCCAGTCTTGCCACTGGAGTGTGGAGGAGGGGGTTGGGGCCTGAATCTGTGAAGCTCTTTTCCTGAACTTGGGGTTGCAGTAGGAAGGGGGCTGGGTACTTTTTCAGTTCTCCTGGGGTGCAGCACCACAGCCTCTCTGGAGACCTTGCCCACCCTTTGCTCTGACACCTTGCAGAGCAGAGTGAGGAGGTGCTGGTGAGAGTCAGGTAACTTATGGTCAAACCTTCCCCCTGCTGAAGCAGGCGTGTGGGGGAGGATGTAAGATGGGCACAGGAGGGCAAGCCTGAGTACAAGATTGGTGTGCTGAGCACCACTGTAAAAATGGCATGTAAGTAGTTTTGTTTTGATGCACTATACCAATATGATCTGGGAGTCTTAGAGAGCCAGTACTATACTGTTTGCTGGCCAGATTCCCGCAGGTGTCAGAACTGGAGTCTGCAGGCTCTACGGTATGGTTAGATCTGAGAATGAGAGGTAAGGGGGGGAAAAAAAAGGGACATGTTTGTGGCTGCAAAACCAAAACTTGTGTACTATTTACAACATAAACTTTTATGTGGATAGGGTTTTGTCCTGTGGTACAGTAGGCCCCTAATAAATCACTTCTAGTACAGTACCTTGGAGGCCTACAACAGGGGGTTGCACAGTGTTGTTCGTGGGC